AGTTTAAAGGGCGTGATGGGCAAGCAAGTCAACCTGCTACAGTAACAATGGAGAATAGTGAGAACTGGGCCAAAGAAAGTACTGAACACTGTAGACAGCATCATCAGTACCCATGGTGGAATTCTTCCCATAGGTCTGCCCCATGAATTTTATAGGCACTATTGGAATATTGGAAAAAATCCAAAAGAAAAGACTTCAGGAAAGGCGAAACTGTCTAACTGCAAAGATTTAATGAGTTTATTTGTTCAGTATACCAAAAAGAAGAATGTACCAAGACATAGCTGTAGGGAAGTATATATCTTCCCCAGGGAAATACTGAATAATATAAGGGGTTTTAACCTCATGGAAGAAACTATAACAAATGCTGGAGATAGAAGCCAGGCAGCACTAACTGGAAATAAAGGCTTTGTTTTAAAAATGAGCGATTCATTACACGAATAAGATAAAGATGTTACCAATATATGTAGTTCACCTTTTGCTAACTTTGGACCAAAGCCTTCTAGAAGACAAGTTTTAACTTTATTCTGTTATAGCAGAGTGAAATTATACAGCTCCTGATGGGAGCTGAATGAGACTTTAGGATGCCCTTGTCTGGATATTCTCCCTCTATGTCCTGTTTCTCAGGCACTTGGATCTGTGGATTTCAATACCTCTTCCCGGGCAGAAGCAGTAACAGACAGGACTTGTGTGCATTGATTTCCACTGGGGTTGTAGGTTTGGTGCAGTCTCATCCCACTGTTGCAATGTGGTCCCTCCACCAGCATTACCACTTCCATCCAAAAGCTCTGCAGATCACTGAACTATGCAGGGCGTTTCTGACCCCTGTCCTCAATGTCTCCTTCTTTAACACATGTCTGAGTTGAATTAATGCCCGAGGCCTGAAGAAAATGCAGGTCCACAAAAGTTCATTGGCCAGAAAAAGTTACTTTCAGCATCCTAAAAGATGCCTGAACTGGGTTGTGGCACCAGCTGAGGCTGGGACTAGTATCTGGACTGTGGAGCTAAGTCATTTCTTGGGCTGCTGCCAAAGGCCACAAGCCTGGGACAAGTCTACAGATATCCGTGCAAATGTGAAACCTCAGTGTTTAATTAGGTGTTCACCCCAAACCCAGCCGCTTGATGGGGAGGTGGGGTGGTGGTGGTGCATAAGATGCCTTATAAGACTTAATTAAATTGTAGGCTAATTCCTAAATCTGGACAACATTTAAAAGTGGGTAGTTGCAGTGTTTCAGACAATATCGCACTCCAAAATGTTTATTATTTCAAAGAAACACTTGAACAGTGAAGGCTGTATGGGCCAATTGCCAGTCCAGGAGAGCCACTAGGCTGCTGTTCACTGCTAAGAAACGTGGAGGGCAGGAGAGCAATGTGATTTTATATGGGCCATGGCAGGAATGAAACCATGCTGAAATGCAGGTTTGCCTGAAGGAAGGTGGGTAAGGAGAGGAAGCAGTCCTTGTCAGTACAAGGAAGCATTGAACAATAAGGGGAGGAGCAGGCTAAAGAAATTCCTATTCCCCAAGAGTTTCCTTTTAAGCGCAAGGTGGGTGTGTCTCCCTCCAACATAAAACACATCCTAAAATAAACATGCACAATTATTTGTGAATGTACACATTCCTTATGGAGTGTATGTGGCAGAGTTGTTTTGTGTCCAGGACCTTCAAGTGGCTCAGACAGCAAAGGAAGCAGAAATTGAAGCAGAATGAAATTGTGGTGGTAAAAGGCAAAGCAGTACTTTCTTTTTGGTAATTATTTGGGTTATTTTTTAAACAAATACTTGTACTTCTTCCTCCTAGTTTAAGGAACTTTACGAAAGGCAAGATCAACACACAGAGGAGTTAGGAAAAAACTATGGAAGGAATCAGTAATGACCAGTAGCTGGCACAAGTGGGTAAGAGTAGGACATCGCAATGCCTGTTATTACCATGCTGTGAGCAGGGTCCATTATCTTAAGCTCTCTTCCACTAGCAATGTTACTGAAGGTATCAGAAGGAAAAGATCTTGGTTGCTTTTGCTGTAGACATTTATCAGCGGAGGGAAAGTGCGTAACTGTGTTTAAGCTATACTTTTTTAAGTGGATGTCTGCATAGTTGTTTTACATAAAGGAAATGAGTTCCATACATTTTGTCTCAAATTTGTTTATAAGGCAAAGTTTGGGAGATCCTGACATTCTTTACAGTCCAGTCTTTTTCTCATTACTCAGTGTTTCAGTACAGACACTCTATCTGACAAGAACAAGGATGAGAATGCACAGTCTGTGCTCAAGCCTTGTCACATCCCAGGTATGGAGTTGGTATATCCCAGGAAAAGACAGTCACTGCAGGAAGTGGTTTAATACCTCCACAGTGATGTTTCTTCCTTGGAGTTAATCCTGAAACCGCCTCATTATGGTAGTAAGGGGTCCATTGATTTCTGGTGGGAAAGGTGTAGGGGCTCAGTTTTAGCTGATTTCATGGATTTTACTAACAGAAAGTTAGTTTAGGATGTTCAGTTGAAATCAGTTGCAATAACTGACGTAAAAATCCAAAAGGGAGATCTGGCTGGGGACGGATTTACAAGATACTCGATATACTTATATTCCCTCCCTGTTTTTAACTGGCAAGTTTTCAGCACTCTGTAGCCTTTGACTGCAGCAGACTTGCTGCTGGCTGCAACAGAAGCAATGGTACTTCAGTGACGGGCACGTTTGGCACATAATGTTTCCAAAATAATCTGGAGGGGAAGTTTAGCTGCCCATTCTGTGATTTCAATAACGGGACATGCCCTGCAGCTCAAGGCAGCAGTGTATACTGTGAAGCAGCAGCACACGCTACAGTACTGGAGACTGGCGAATATGCAGTTCTCTCTCCCTCCTTTTCCACAAGTTGTTTTAAGCCTCCATCACATGAGGCTGGACTAGATAAAACCCAGATACAGAACAATTCTTAATCAGTACATGTGACAAGGCGCCTGATTAGAACAGACTTTTCACTCCTTCTGCGCTAAAATCACTGGCTCAGTTTTAAACTTAGACTAAATCTCTCTGGTGTCTCGTAATTCTAGAAAGACTATTTTCTGACTACACCAGAATGCCAAATTGTCAGCATTTTTCTGAGTGCAGGAAGAAATTTCAGCAAGGTTAAGCAGATCAGAAGAAACAGCCTCTTACATCTCCCAGAGTCTAACCAAACAAATATGCCAGCATTAATTTAATACAAATTACTTCAGTTGAAGTAAGATAACAATAAGGGAAGTACCATGACACCAAATACTGAACAACCAGAGAATCATTTTTAAGCAGTTTGCAGTCAGTATTACTTAATTTCAGCATGGTGCACAGCTGAATTTTAATTGTGTTCACTTCTAAATGTCAAAAGTCAGCATTCCAAAATACTCAGAATGTAACAGCACAGTAGCTACACTTCCTGAAACTTATACCGTGATTTAGGATAGGATTTTGCATAGGAACCATGTCCCAAATGGTGTCTCTTGAGATGATGTTCCCCTAT